GCCCTTTCTCTGTCTCTTTTTGTGCAACGTAACCCGAAGAAAAAACCCTACTCCTATATATGGTGTTGGTCACGAAGTCCGATTTTACTCAAGTCATCAACACCGCAATAGATCAAAAAAAATATAAAAGGATAAAAGGATAAAGCATTTGCCGTTGATCAATCCCTTTTTGGGATGCGGCACGCATTCTACTTCCATTTGTACATTCGCAGTGGCGTTTGAATGCGATGTGGCCTATACAATGACTTGCGGGGGCCAGCCGATGTTCAAGTCAGTGTTTTTTATCCTCCCAGACAAGTCTGGTACCAATTAACCGACCCCGGAGGGATGGAAGGCTTGGTTGGCCCGGGCGACTCACGACCCAGGATTTGATCCCGGACCGCTCGCGTGGTAAGCGCGCCACTTGTCACTACACCACTTCCGCCCAAAAAAAGGAATGTATCACAATAAAATCATAAGGCGGAGCGGATCGAAAGATTAAATTACTTATTTAGTTTTGCAAAAGTGACAGTGGGTCTTAAAATCAACGAATATTTGATGGCATTAAACGGATAAAATATAGATAAATCAATACAAAACGAGGAGCAAAGGGCAAATCTCTGATTTTTTACTCCGTTATACCGCAAAGATAATGAGTCACCCATGGAGTCCTGTAACGAATACGGCCTTGAAAACCGAAAAAGAGAACAGGAAATGATAAGAAAAAAGGCGAGTGTGTAGGGATGGATTGCGCAGTTGTCATAATAAGCAAAAAGTTTTTGTCGCCCTGAATGAGGTGTGAGGTGCGAGTGGCGGGGAGCGCGAATTTCAAATCACCCCTTTGGCCTGAATTGGGTCATCACAGACTTTCGCGGTTGGGGGTGGTGGCACGAACTTCGCCATTCTTTGCAAACTCCTCAGTTAGTCAGCTCCGGCAAGGTCTTCGAGGTGCCCGTAAGAGCGCGCGAGCGGGTGGCCCCGCCGGAACTGATTGATCACTTGTGCTGACGGTCAATGTGGGGAAGATTTAGTTGTTACCGGAATGGGCGCTGAGGGTGGTTTATGTCGGATAAAAGCTGAAAGGCTATCGTAGCTGAAAGGTTCAGATAGGGGGGAATGCGAAAATCTACTGCTGGGAACAGGTGAAAGATCAAAAGGTTCAGAGTAAACGTCCCAACGTGGGAACGGCGCATCACATACCTTCGGGTAGGTTATTTGAACGTTTTTTATTTCTAATACCAAACTCCCTCCCCCCCCCCCCGCCATCCTAAAATCGTTTTGACTTCTGTGTTGAGCATGCCGCATTTACTTTGCTTTGACTCAGTTCAGTCAGTCCTAGTACACAATTGTTTTTACACATCCTTTCCTCCTTTCCAACGATTGCGTGGTTCAGATATGCGGAAAATGCGTGGCGCAGCTATGGCGGTGTGTAAATCGAGTTTCTTTGGCTCAAGTACAACATTAAGTTTGACGATTCAGGCTTATTGCTAACTTTCGGGTGGCATTTCATCAATCCATTTAGAATTTTCTGCACAACGAGCGCAACCTGTCGTCCTGCTGAAAACCTAATCGAGTACCATTACTCATTTTGTCGAAGCTCTGTCGTCTTCACAGAGTGGGCTGAATTTTTCAAACCTGACCCAACCTCTCCAGGAAACTACACTTAAAAATACGACTGCTGAAGAATTATGAGAACAACCATAAGCTATTTCGCATGTAATGTTGGGTGTGATAAAATATGAGTACGGAAGCGCTGCACATTTGATAACTCTTTTTTTTTGTTGCGCTGTATAACTACTTCTCAACCAGGGTCAACCGTCACGTTCGAACATTTTCGGGATTTTTGCGACCCCCCCCTCTCGAGAGGGTCCAGTTGCGACCCCTCCCAACACACAGTTGCGACCCCCCAATACAACCAGCCTTCCTCCACCGCGACCTCTCCCTCTTCTATAGTATTTGATTCTGAGACCAGTTGACACAGCCCAAAACCTACCTAAAACTCCGAAACTCCACCCACTTTTCCCCAAAAACAGCCGTCGAGCGGGGGGGGGGTATACAACCAGTGAAACGGCAACTTTTCAACTTTTTTCGCACGCACCTATGCCCTGCGCCCCTGATCACCAAAGCGCGCAATGCGACCAATGCGACCCCCTCTCCCCTCCCAGACACACAAATGCGACCCCCCGTTCGAACAGTTCGAACGGACGGTTGACCCTGTCTTCGACCCACTGCCACAGAAGCGTTCGATGCTTACTGTCAACCCAGGTATTTATGAAAAGACTGCGTGTATCCAGAACAGCGTTTTCGCACGACGAATTCTATCACCACAATCCTACATATGCTGGAATAGAGACATGGGCTTGGTTCAAGAAGTGAATATCATTTCCCAAGTCCGGACCAGGCTATGGTAGGCTGCATTACATCCCATCCTGCTATTGCGTAAGATGGGAAAATTGGCTTTTGATTGATCTCAAATATGCTTCATCATCTTGAATTTTGAATCATTTGGGTAGAAGGATATTCTTCTTGAAAGAGATCATACATTCCTTCTGATCTTCGAATCCATTTTCTCCGTAGCATTGCACGTTAGCATTTTGAACCTGCACATTCAATCCCTAATTCACGTTTTCTTATATTGTTCAACTCTTTTTAATGAAGGGTTTTTGGGATGTTTTTTTTCTTTTCTCACTTTCATGTTGCATTGCGATTTGCTAAGAAACCAGTATCCACTTTGAACTTTTTTCCCATGTTCTAGGGCTGAAAATGGAGGTATAAAGTAAGAAGTAGGCTTACTTGTTGGGTTATCTTATCTTGGGTTCTTAGCTATCGAAGTATCACCCCTTTTTTGAAATTTGCAATGTTTTTCGCATAGTAATAACTAAGTTAAGTGAATCATTACCGCGTTTTGAAACACAATATAAATCGAAAAATGGGTGCAGAACTAATCAGGGGGGGGGGGAAGGAAGGATATGCCAATCTTTGGGTACGATAAGCGCACAATGTACGTAATGACCGCTATCACGCTGCCTATTCATTTTTGGGATTCGAATTATCGCTTAGCTTGCGGCAGCTTGGACAAAGTCTGGGAGGTTAGAAAGTTTGAAAAACGCAAAATTAATCTACAAGCAGTGGAATCTCTCCATCCTGTAACCATAAGACTTCCCCCTACCGATTCTCATAAGATCCCAGGCGTCATTGCGTACCCGTGTCCAGAATCGGCGTCACCCCATATAGTTCTGTTCTGCAAACGTAATATGATGAGGAGAACAGGGCAGCGGCTCTGTAGTAGCGCTGCGCACCGAGCAGATCTAAACTCGCTCAGGACAACGAGGGGTCTTGTAACACTTAATAAACTTGATAAACTTTAGGTTATACATGTTCTAGCTTCCCTAATTTCAAATTAGAATCGCTGTTCAGTGAGAAGGGGAGCTTTAACCGCCGTACGCCTTGCGTTTTGCTTTCTTCAGAAACACGTTACAGTTATGTCTGTATTAATGCAGAACAGCGAGGACTATGAAAAATTGAGGTGCATTCTAAATCGGAAAGGTCGGAACGGGATTTCGACTGCAGCAACGTTCAGCCATATCCTGATAAGCAACTATTAACAATTCCGATTCATATAATCGCTCATGAATTTATTAATGGCCTTGACTAGACACTACAGACATCAACCCCTGCCCGCTTCTCAGCATTTCACCTCATCCTTTTTGAAGAGTAGTTTCTAACGATTCATACGTGCTGCGTACTTTCGCGTACTACTCCTGCTTTAGTACTGAATATATGAATCTTTATCCACAAGATATCTGTGTGTGTGGCTTCAAGAGCTTGAATAATATTAAAGGATAAAGGATAAAGCATTTGCCGTTGATCAATCCCTTTTTGGGATGCGGCACGCATTCTACTTCCATTTGTACATTCGTAGTGGCGTTTGAATGCGATGTGGCCTATACAATGACTTGCGGGGCCAGCCGATGTACAAGTCAGTGTTTTTATCCTCCCAGACAAGTCTGGTACCAATTAACCGACCCCGGAGGGATGGAAGGCTTGGCACGACCCAGGATTTGATCCCCGGACCGCTCGCGTGGTAAGCGTGCCACTTGCCACTACACCACTTCCGCCCTTATACTGACTTCTTTAAAAGGTCGCGTCCAATAGGCGCTTAGCGTTTGACTGCTAGTAGTTGCACAAATTTTTTAATAGAGTAGTTTTATTTTTTCACCTGAAAGGTCAGGGATCTTCGAAAGCGGAACACAAATGATTGTGGAGCAATATATATGATGTGTTAAATTAGATGCCAACTATGTGGATAAAGATAACCTGAAGCCGTGCCTGGAGGAGGAAGGGAGACGTCGTTAGAATACCTCTCACCCAATGCGCCTTTCTGCAAATTCACGTTGGAATGACTATATGGCAAAATCGTTCCTTCCTAAACCCTCTTTGTTCGTCATCGGATCCGGTTTTGAAATCATAACAAATTTTACCATAACTAACTTAGGAAGGTTACAGAAACGTTTCATTTTGCAGGATCAGGGACATGTACCAGTCATGGAATTGCAAAATGGCACCAGTTAGAGGCTCACTTGGATGAGTTTCTATCAAGGCAGCTCTCAACGGTTCTATGCATTAGCAGTTGAAGGATGGTGAGCGTTTCTGATTTTGATGGCGACTTTCTTTATCATCTTCAAAATCATGCTAGTTATGCGATGCAGTAGTCCCTCAGAAATTTGCAGAGATCCAGAATATTCAACTTCGAATTTGAGAGAGGAATCATATATTCATATTACCCGGAACATTAAAAGGCCAGATCTGGTAGGGTAATTGGTCTTCACAAATCATAGGGCGGAAACGCTATGCTTTCGAATAGTGATGTGGTTCTGTGAGGGGACCGAGTGCGTGGCGCATATTTCCAAACCATGAGCCATTAGATTTGTGAACAACTGTTAGGTTACACTCAATCGATATCATTGTGATCCGTAATAACTTCGTACTGTTTGTCCTGACATTCCTACACCACTGGCACTTCACAACGATATAAAGAATATATTATTCGCTTGTGTACATATTTCAGTAAAAGCCAGGTACAATTCATTGGGGGAACCGTCATCAGAAGTGTCCTTTGGAGGGCGAAGGGCAGCTACCGTTCCATCTGCTGCAGGCAGCGCAGGGTGTCCTGGCTTGCCTGGCCGTCCGTCTGAACCGCGTCGTCCTGGTTGCCCAGCCATTCCTGGTCGCCCTCTTGGTCCTGGAAGTCCCGCTTTTCCATTAAAGCCACGTGCTCCCATAGCCCCACGCGAGCCTGGCGTTCCACGGTTACCAGGGTTTCCTCGCGATTTACGATATCTTACCCCGTCCTTACCCGGAACACCAGGTCTACCTGCAGAACCACGGTTTCCATCAGATCCCCTCTGTCCCACAGGTCCTGCTGGTCCTGGACGACCCGCTTTTGTCAGGCCGCGCAGTCCCGGTCGCCCTGAATTGCCACGAGGTCCCACTTGTCCCAACGGTCCACGTGGTCCCGGTGGCCCTCGTGGGCAACGAATGCATCCTGGACTGTGTGCAGGGCAATCAGCAACTCGTCGTGTCTAAAATAATAGGATCACTGTCAGGAGATTCTCAAATCTACACTTTTAAAATATCTTCCAT